TACTGGGAGTGGCCGGCCCCGAGGAAGCCGGGCCTCTGCTTCTGAGCAACCACTCTGCACGCCGTTGTTTCCAGCTGCTTCCATCTGCCTGGAATTCCATCCTCGACACGCATCCCTATCACCCATCTGAACTGCATCTCACCAAGACCTGGCGTGAGCTTCCACCATCCCGAAACAGATTTCTGATCATCTGGGTCTGCTGGGGTCTCTTTCTCCTCTAACTTAAGAAAGCTGTGATTGAGCCGGGCTCGGTGGCTCAACCTGTAATCTCATGCCTTTGGGAGGCTGAGGTGAGTGGATTGCCTGAGCCCGCGGGTTCCAGACCCGCCTGGGCAGCGAGACCTCATCTCTACAATAAATCAAAAAATCAGCCGGGCGCAGTAGCATGCTCCTGTAGTTCCAGCTACTTGGAAGGCTGAGGCGGAAGGATCGCCGCAGCCCAGCAGGTCGAGGGTGCGGCAGTGAGACTCCAACTCAAAAAAAAAAAAAAGAAGAAAGCTGTGATTGAACGGAGTCAAGGTCATCTGCTTCTCAGCACTGGCCCTGTCACCTCTGGGCTGGGAATTCTTGTCTTGGTTTTCTTCTCAATAGAATAAAGTGAATGGGAGGCTTGGCTCAGTGGCTCAGCTAGTCATCCCAGCTCTATGCGAGGCTGAGGAGGGTGTATTGTCTGAGCCCGTGGGTTCGAGACCAGCCCAGGCAACTTGGCAAGACCACGTCTCTCCAATAAATCAAAAATTAGCCGGGCGTGGTAGCGCACACCTGTAGTTCCAGTTACTTGGAAGGCTGAGGCGGAAGGATTGCCGGAGTCCAGCAGGTCGATGCTGAGGTGGCTGTGAGTGTGCCACTGCACTCCAGCCTGGGTGTCAGAGTGAGACTCCAAAAAAAAAGGGGGGGGGATGCGGCGGCATCTGAAAACCAGAACATGCATGTCTTCTTTGCCTACCTTGAGGGGCTGGTTCAATAAAATAAGATCTGGAAGAAGTCTTGTGTCCATCAGAAGCAGCTGGACAAAACCAGGATTTGTTGTTTTAATCGTGACATTTATTTATTTATTATTTATTATTACTATTTTTTTTCCTGAGTCAGCATCTCACTCTGTTGCCCTGGCTAGAAGGCAGCGGCACCATCATGGCTCACCGCAGGATCATGTGATCCTCTTGCCTTGGCCTCCCAAAGTGATAGAATTACGGATGTGAGCCACGGAGCCCGACCAACTGTTATATTTAAAGGGACCATTAATGATGCCCTGCCAGCCTCTAGCTTCGGTTGTCTTTGAACCGCTGTTGAAATCCTACACTGTGTTGTCATTAAATGCTCTATATGCAATGTCCTCTGTCCCTTATGAACACCCTGAGGGCAAGGCCAAGCCAGCCTCTCCACTGCCTGTGATGATCTGCCCTGGCAGAAGCCCTGCAACCTGGGGTGGTCTGATGGGGCACGTTCCTGGCAGGAAAACACAGTTCTGAGAGGCAGGGATAGGGAAGATGGCTGCACAGGAGGGAGGGAGGGAGGAGGAAGGGCTGAAGCAGGGAACAAAATAAAAATTAGGCTCTTGCCCACCAGCATGACAAGAACAGATGGGGATATCTTTTAAAAGCGCATACAGTGGCCAGGCGTGGTGGCTCACGCCTGCAGTCCCAGTGCTTTGGGGGGCCGAGGCAGGAGGATTGCTTGAGCCCAAAGTTCAAGATCAGCCTGGGCAATACAGCGAGACCTCGTCTCTACGAAAAATTTTAAAAAATTAGCCGGGTGTGGTGGCGCGTGCCTGCAGTCCCAGTTACTCGGGAGCGGGAGGTGGAAGGATGGCCCAAGCCCAGGGGGTCGAGGCTGCCGTGAGTCATGAGCCTGGATGACAGAGTGAGACCCCGGCTCAAACAAACAAATAAAAAAAGATCATATGGTGTCTCCATATCTTGCCACCTCCTGGCCCTGGCTCACGGTAGTCTTGAGTCTGGGGCTCCTAGGACCCAGGGGATCAAAGGGGAGTGTAAGGCCATGCCACACAGGCTAAGCAAAACTGTCTTTCTTTGAGCTGAAGTGGTATCAACTCAGCGGGTCACACTGGTCCTCTTATGCTTACCATCAGCTTTGATGAGCCGTTGAATGCTTTTGGGTACAAAGAAATCATTTAAAGCATAGGTCCGTGTAAGGGAGCATATAATGAAAAAGGTATGAAGGTTGGGAAACCCTGGATCAGATCCCAGTTTCCCTGGATTTAATAGACTAGTCTTAGACCGCTCTAAGATATTAATGTTTGATCCCAGTGTCTTGGATTTCATGATCTCAGCTGGAGTCAGCCATGCTGAGAGATATTTCATCTATAAAATCTCCCTGGACTTGTTTTTCTTGGATGCCATTCTCTCTCTTTCTCTTGAGTCAGGGTCTCACTTTGTTGCTCAGGCTGGGGCCAGTGGCACAATCACAGCTCATTGCAGCCTCGACCTCCTGGGTTCAGGAGATCCTTCTGCCTCAGCCTCTTGAGGAGCCGGGACTATGGGTACACGCCACCACGCCCAGCTAATTTTTTATAGAGATGAGGTGTCGCTATGTTGTCCAGGCTTATTCCTTACTTTTGACCATGTGGCTGGCAGGTTCTTTGACCATTTCAATATGCTGGTGGATGGACATTTGTGTAGCTAAATTTTCAGGGACATTCAAACTCTAGGTACGACCACATCTGCCTGGAGTGCCCTGTTGCATAAGCCAGCGTCTGGGGGGTGAACATCTCTGGCTCCATAAGGGGGAAGCTCAGGCTTCCAACAGGATCATGGAAAGACATCCTGGGCACCGGTATCTCCCAGGTCTCACCCTGCGACACTGCAGACCTTGCTAAGGCTCTCACTACACAGGGGGAGTGGACAGCCCTACCAGGGAGGCCGTTGGGACCAGGTGAGGGAGAAGGTACCAGAGGTCCGAGACAGGGAAGACTGACTGATCTCTTAGGGTTCTGTCCCTTGTCCTGAGGACTGTCTAGCCTGCTAGGTGGTGGCCAGTGGCCTGCCCAAAAGTATGAGCTACCTGATGATGAACCAGGTGCAAGGGTAGGACTGTCTTCTGAGAGATGTCTCCTCCTTGATTCTTCTGCCGCTTCAGACACTCCAGGTGGAAGGAGGCCCTTCGACCTGCAAAGCCGGCCAGAGGACTAGGATCAGGGCAGAGAAAGAGGACACTGTCCCACAATGGCTCCCATGCTACTGGGGTGTGAAGAGTAGTGTCTGAAGCCCTGGACACTCCCCACGTCACCCTGCGCCCTGTCTCTGAGCCTGTGTCCAAGGCCCATTCCAGCAAACCCTGCCTTTGGAATTTTGTTTCATCACTTTGGAAATCTGCCCAACCCCCTGCATGGGGTCCATCATCCCTGAGTACCTGACCTGTGTCCTCTCGGGAGTGACCACCGGCCCCCTCTGGAGAGCCAGGTGTGTGCTTACCTAGTGAGGCTGAGCGGAGGAATCCCCTCTTCGGAGATTGCCGGATGTCCCTCTTGTCCTCGTCTGGGGGTGTCAGTTGCCGATTTTCATCATCCTGGTAGGAGAGTCTGGAACAGAGAACTCTTGGGGCTTGTTCCTGGAGGCTGACAAATGCCAGCCTGAGAAAACAGCTTGCTTTTTGCTTTAGTGAAGGGAACCCCTCCCCATCTTTTGCTTACATACAGTTTAAGGAGGAGGCAGCAGGAACTCACCACCCCAAGTATTCTGGGCTGGGTGCAGTGGCTCATTCCTATAATTCCAGAACTTTGGGAGGCTGAGCCAGGAGGATTGCTTGAGCCCAGGACTTTGAAACCAGCCTGGGCAACATAGCGAGACCTTGTCTCTACAACAAATCCAAAAATTACCAGGGCGTGGTGGTGCACGCCTGGAGTCCCAGCTACTCAGGAGGCTGGGGTAGGAGGATGACCTGAGCCCGGGAGGTTGAGGCTGTGGTGAGCTGAGATTGTGCCACTGCACTCCAGCCGGGCCACAGAGTGAGACCCCGACTCAAAAAGAAAAGAAAAGAAAAAGAAATTCTGCCTTGCCTCCTGGGATCGCAGGTGTCTTCTAGGCCTGCGGGTCAGGGGTTCTAGCTGCCAACCTGCAGCCTGTCTCCTAAGCTTGTATTTCCGATATGGGGTGATGGAGGGACTCGTGGGTCCAAGGTGCTGAGAAAGTTGAAACAATTCTAGGCCCACCAGGGTCTTTCAAGGAAAGGCCTCAGTTCCTGTGTTTGCGGGTGCTGGTGCTCAATTTGGCCTTGTCTACTCTCAACTGTAGCCCAGACTTGTCCCTCCCCCCCAGCTTCTTCCTGCCCAAGAACACATGAGCAATTGCCTACAACAGACACACGACCACTCAGTTGGCAAACAGCAGGGACCTTCAGGGACATCTAGGCAGTGGCTTCCAAGCCTTCTGATGGCGAAGAAATGTGATTTACATATTCCCATGATGCACCGATGTACCTAACTGAAGGGAATACCTCCATCTATACTTACGCACTGCATTCTGGCACATTCTGGTCTGCTTTAGTCTCTTCTCCCTGGCTTTAAAATGTCAGCTGCAGACCCACTCAGCTGACTGCCCAGCCCCTAGTGGGTCACCCTGCAGTCCAAGATGCACGGTGGCATTGCAACCCCATTGTGCAGATGGGGCCACTGGCTCTGTCCCCGGAGCTACCCCATACCTCTATCTCTGTGATCTTTGAATCCACTCCAGCTCCTGGCCCAGCACCCTGACCTTGAGTATTTGCAGCTGTGCCGGGAAGTTTGTTGGGTGCCAACCTCACAAATCCTAGGCCTCCAAGCCTTGTCTGCAGCTAGGTAAGCCCTTCCTATTGTATTTTCTTCATATGTAAATCCTCCTCACTCCTGCAGACCCAGCTTCTGTTTGATCTTGTGTGTGGGACCATTCAGGTCACCCTGTCCTTGACCTTAGCTGAACACATATACCCTTGAGGGTTTTTGCCGGTCTGTGGGCAACTAGAAACTCTTCATGTTATTTTCGTCTTCTGTGATCCTCTTCTCTTACTAGCTAGCTTGCAAAGTCTCCTTAAGTGTGAAGCTGGTGTATCCACGACACAGCGAGTGCCTGGTACACCGAGAATCAGAAAGAGCCAGAAATGGGTGAAAGCATCTGCTTTTCCTGACTTCTAGAATAGTTGGCCACGTAGTCATCTGCATTCTCTAAAATCAATTTAGAGAATATCTCTCAAGGAACTTCTGATATTTCTTTTGGTTTTATATTGACTATGTTTCATTGAGTCAGAAAAGAAGAAAGGTTTATCGCTTCCCCTAGCCCATTTTGCTGATGGGGACATGAAGGCGTGGGGAGGTTGACTGATTTATCAAGAATCACTGGTCTCGACTATTTCTACGTTTTTCCTTACTCACTAGATTCTTCTTTTTACACTAGGGGAAAAGGAGACGCTTTTGCTCCTCTTCCAAGCCAGTTCCCCGGCAGAAAGTTCCGGACCCAGGAGGCCACATGCTGTGCGGGCCTGGCTGCCACCTCTCCTGACACTCCCGGGGTTGGGGAGCCTGGTGCTCCCCTCCTGCCGCCTCCAGGCACACCTTTCCTTTCCTCAAGAGCCTAAAAGGCTAGTCCTTCCTCACCATAAAGTACTTCCAGGGAAGCTTCTAAAACAGCGTCTTAAACTGTTTTGAATGCAACCCACAGTCATAAAGTCATTTGACAAGGAGACTCCCTAGATACACGTATCTATTGGCCATTAAGCAAATGTTTCACGACACAGTCCTTACGTTTGTGCCATCTGATATGCTCTCATATTTTCTGTGGGGCTGTACTATGCTAGTCTTTTAAAATGTAGACAGAACTCACCACATGGAGGCCCCAACCTTCTTATCCATCTAGCTCTGCAGTTAAAGAACCTACTTCCAAAATTCCATCAAGGACAAAAAATTCAACCCTAGATTTGTCAATAGTGCCCTCTTCTGGGCAACTTTATGAAGCTTTTTGTGAAACATTTGCTTGTCAATATAAGTATGCACGCATTGAGTGTCACGAGGAAATATATTTGTGATGGCTGGTACAGCTTAAAAAAAAACCCCAAACAATGTTTAGAGGTTTTCCTGGTGAGGAAAAGCCAAGCTGAAAAGGAGATGTGTGTGTGTGTGTGTGTGTGTGTGTGAGAGAGAGAGAGAGAGAGAGAGAGAGAGAGAGAGAGAGAGAGAGCGAGAGGCTTCCCTTGCCCCTAATGAAGTGACAAATATTTTATAACATGTAACCTCCCCTCCGAGAGAGAGAGAGAGAGAGAGAGACACGCTTCCCTTGCCTCTAATGAAGTGACAGATATTTTATAACATGTAAACATGTAACCTCCCCTCCTCTGGGCGGGATTTCAGGCACCTGTCCCCGCCTCCCCTGACCCTTCCCCACACCCAGGCCAGCCGGCAGGGCGCGGCGGAGCTCACATCTCCGTGGAGAGCAGGCTGGGCTCGCTGCGGGACTCGGGGTCATCGCTGATCTTCACTTCATAAGTCTGGTCCCGAGACCCCTCCTCCTGACATCCCATGGCGGTCTGGCTCTCCCGGGAGAGGCACCTGCCGTGTCCGAGATGGAGAGACGAGTCAGGAACTGCTCGCCCTCTTCCCCTTCCCTCAGCAAGCAAGGCATCACACGCGCACACACACGCGCACACACAGGCGCACACATATGAAGACGCGATTGCTGTGGCCTCTTTCTCCTGCCATTGCTGATGAAGCCGTGGAGTCACAGAAGCATTCAGATTTGGGTGAGGGTTCTATGTGGGAGAAGAGAGGAAACCTCACAGACAGGGTCTGTGGGTCAGAGCACAAGGGAGTGAGCCTGAGTCCTTGCGGAGCCTGAGTCCGTACTGAGCCTGAATCCTCCCTGAGCTCCAGACACTCCCATGTCAGGATGTGCCTTGGGTTATAATGCTTTCCCTGTGGAGACAGGATCTTCTGCTCATCGGGCCATGTCCCCTTTAGCTCCCTGAACATAAGGGAGTGAGCCTGAGTTCTTGCAGAGCCTGAGTCCGTACTGAGCCTGAATCCCCCCTGAGCTCCAGACACTCCCATGTCAGGATATGCCTTGGGTTATAATGCTTTCCCTGTGGAGACAGGATCTTCTGCTCATCGGGCCATGTCCCCTTTAGCTCCCTGAACATAAGGGAATGAGCCTGAGTTCTTGCAGAGCCTGAGTCTGTACTGAGCCTGAATCCCACCTGAGCTCCAGACACTTCCACATCAGGATGTGCCGTGGGCTATAATGCTTTCCCTGCAGGAACAGGGTCTTCTGCTCATCGGGTCACGTCCCCGTTAGCTCCGGCTGAGTGTTCTTCCTTTTCCTAGCTGTGCTCACCACAGGGCCTCCCCCCGTCCTCCTTCCTATAGACCTTGCATGCTGGAGTCTTTTATCCTCAGACCCCAGAAGGCGTCAGGGAAGGGTCCCGGTTTATCTGCTCGGGGCTGAGTGCCAGCTCAGTGCCCGGCTTGGAGCGACTCAGGCAGGGCGGGGGCAGATGAGAGGCAGGCGCTCCGGGTGGAGCAGGGGAGGGGTATGGAGTGTGCATGGGCGAGGCTCGATGGGATGAGCTGGAGATGCAGAATGGCAGGAGGCAGGCAGCACCACTTCTCGGGGGACCGCTGGCCACAGGACATGCTGGCCCGCCCTCAGCACAAGCAAGGCTGGCGCCCGGGCCGCTGCCCTTGGCTTTCAGCCGAGGCCTGGAGACTGAACTTGGGCTTTGGGTTTCCTCTTCGCCTAGTTGAAGCTTAGCACCCTGAGGGCTGTCTTTACCCACTGCAATGGGAAGAGAAGGGACCAACACCCAGGGAGCACTTAGGCCTCGCTGGGCATTGTGCCAGGGGCCTCATGTGTGCTTTATTTCGTGGACAGACGCATTTGTGGGGTGAAGGGGAGCCTTCTGCCCCAGCTCCCCTCTAAAGATCCCTTTCCCCTTGTGTAATACGGAACAAAATTTCCTCTAAAAACGCCCTTAGAGGGAGGTGATTTAATTCACCCAAGGATACTAGTGACCGGCAGGAGGTGCCCTCATCAAGAAGAGGTTTTGGCTGGGTGTGGTGGCTCACGCCTGTAATCCCAGTGCTTTGGGAGGCCCAGAGGAGAGGATCCCTCATGGCCAGGAGTGCGAGACCAGCCTGGGTAACACAGCAATACCCCATTTCTACAAAAAAATACAGATAAGAAAAATTAGCCAGGCGTGGTGGCACCTGCCTGTAGTCCCAGATACCGGGGAAACTGAGGCAAAGATTGCCCGAGTCCAGGAGGTCCAGGCTGTGGTGAGCCGTGATCATGCCGCTGCACTCCAGCCTGGGCCACAGAGTGAGCCCTTGATTCAAAAATAGAGAGGTTTTGTAGGGTGAATGGGGAGAAAGTGGTGTTCGGACTGAGTTCTCAAGGGTCCTGGAAGGGGAGCGAGGTTGCCGAGGAGGGAGGGAGGCCACCAAGACACAGGCAGGATCGAGCCCTGAACGCTTGCTGCTCTCCTACGCAAAGCCAGCCTTTCAGATCAACACACGAGGTCCAGGTCGAGCACACTACCCTGCACACAGGAGGCACCAGCACCTGGCTCCTGAGTGGAGGACCCTCCAACTCCTGCCGCAGGGTGGCTAACCCCGCAGACCTTCCAGAGAGTAAGGCAGATGGGTGGGGTGGCCCATCTGACTTCCATCAGATGCGGTTAAACGCTGAGCCGTGTGGGCAGCCCCGGGGCCACCTGTCAACGGAGCCACGAAGGGACACAAAAGCCAGTGAGCGGTGTGCTGGCCCCTCGGAGGGATGCTTGTCTAGGGGTTTAGACAGAAGCTCGTGCTTCTCCATCCTTTTCTGAGCGGGAGGGTGGGAAGGGCAACCTGCTGAGGAACCTGGCAGGCTGGGGCCCTGCACCACCTGCTGAGAGCGACCACCCCCCTCTGGAAGAGCCGCACGGTTGAGGGAGATGTGTCACGACTCAGGTGTCTTCTCCCGGGAGACCTGCGGAGGCCCGGGCTGCAGTGCCTGGGCCCAAAGCAGGACGGGGGCCCCTTTCTGTCCCAGCGGGTCACAGCAGTGCATCCTCGAGCACCCGGGAGCACAGGATGGGAGAAAAGAGGGAGTCGGGGGTGGGAGGGGCCGTCAAGACCACCAGGAACCACCCTGTGCTGGGCAGAAGGGGCCAACGCTGCAGAGAGCACCCCTGTTCCAGAGCGCCCCTCCCGGGAGGGTGGTGAAGGGGTTGGAAAGAGGAGGGGCACCATTTCTGGGTCTGAGCCGAGAAAGGCAGAGGGAATGCTTGGGGAGCCAGAGCACAAACATCTCAGAGGATCACGTCCGTCACTTGGGAAAGACCAGAGAGGAGGGGGACTCTGTGGGAGGCCTCGCCCTGCAGGCCACCGACGGTCAGTGGGTGATGCTGGCCTATCCCAAGTGTGGCAATCGTGTTTTGTTTTGTTTTGTTTTTGAGTTGGAGTCTTACTCTGTCGCCCAGACTGGAGTGCAGTGGCCACTCCTGGCCACCACAGCCTTAAGTCGCTGGGCTCTGGCGATCCTTCCGCTTCAGCCTCCCAAGTAGCCAGAACTACAGGCGTGTGCTACCACACCCGGCTAATTTTTTTGATTTATTGTAGAGATGAGGTCTCGCTAAGTTGCCCAGTCGGGTCTCGAACCCACGGGCTCAGGCAACCCACTCACCTCAGCCTCCCAAAACGTGGGATTACAGGCTGAGCCACTGACCCCGGCTGGCAACCATGTTTAATCGGGGGCGGACTTAGGAAGCAGCCCAGCACCTGCCACCATCACCGGGGTCTGGAGCGGCGGGTTCCTGGAAGCTTGAGGGGCAGCCTGCCGGGGCCTCCTCGGCCTCCAGCAGGCGGGCTGCAGCGCGTGGCCCCGCGGTGGCCCTGGCACCCACCCTCCCGCTTACCTCTTGGAGCTGAGCCTCCACGCCGCCTCCTGCACCCGGATTGCCGGGGACAAGGGGGGCCCGTGGCCCTCCACGGTGCTGACCGTGCTGGGGTAGCCGGCGGGGCGGGGGAGGCGGCCCAGGGCCGTGTTGTTGGCGTTGTTGATGTTGGCGTTGGAGCCGGTGGACGAGTAGCTGCTGGGGGTGAAGGTGGAATCCACCAGCTTCTCGTGGGAGGGCGACTCGGTGTCGCCCTGGCTGTTGCCCGCCTTGTTGATGTGCAGCGGACGCTGCGTGGTGAAGGTCTGGGGGAAGCCGCTCCGGCCGTCGCTTTGGTAGTAGCTGACGTGGTTGCCGAACAGGCCACCGGCCCTCTGTAGGCAAGACGGGAGGGTGGGTGGAGGAGAAGCCCCCCCAGCTGCCGCTTCTCCAAGGGAGGAGCCTGCCTGGTAGCCAGGTCCGAGGGGCGTGGGGCACGGGATGGCAGGCCTCCGGAGACGGACAGCCGTGCCAAGGGCCTGTGGTGTCTGGGGAACCTAAGGCCTCACAGCTCTGGGGTAGGGGCGAACCCCGATGCCCCCAGGCCCCCCGTGTCCCTCTGCGGTGAACCCAGGGGGTTGGAGTCGGGCAGGGGACTGCTGCCGGTCCACGAGCTGCCCTGGAGGTTCCTAGTGGACCCCTCGAAGATTGGGGTCATGTTTCAAGGGCATGTCTAGGATGGAAATCCCTAACGGCACATGGCGAGGGCTGAGGGCTGGGAAGGGGACCAGAAGATTCTACCCAAACTTTGAAAAGTGAAATCCAGTGGGTTCACAGAGCTAGAAACGGGACTGGCCAAAGAGTTTTACAGATGAAGAATTTACTGCGTGATGGCCTCCTTTCCCCTAGAGATTTTTAGAGATTTAAAATCAGGATTTTAGCCGGGCTCGGTGGCTCAGCCTGTAATCCCGTGCCTTTGGGAGGCTGAGGTGAGTGGATTGCCTGGGCCTGTGGGTTCGAGACCCACCTGGGCAGCGAGACCTCATCTCTACAATAAATCAAAAAATCAGCCGGGCGTGGTAGCGCATGCCTGTAATTCCAGCTACTTGGAAGGCTGAGGCGGAAGGATCGCCGGAGCCCAGCAGGTCGAGGCTGCGGTGGCCGGGAGCGGCCACTGCACTCCAGTCTGGGTGACCGAGTGAGACTCCAACTCAAAAAAAATAAAAAATAAAAAAAATAAAAATAAAATCAGGATTTTCATCCATGTTTAAAAATCACGGGCAAGGCTGGCCTCCTCCTCGATATCAGAATGTCCCTGGGCTTTGGCGACCGAGCCTGTGGTTTCTGGGGTCTCCTCTGGTGGTGTTAACGTGGTGCCGTGTCCCTGAGGCCATTCAGTGATGCATGTTTCCCGGCGATGAGGATGAGGATGAAGATGAGAGGACCCCCCGCGGAGGGGTCTAGCCTACACCCTGCATGTTCTACAGCTGGGAGTCTGGGCAGGGGTGGGAGGGCAGATGAGAGCAGGGCCCTGTGTGATCATGGTCCTTCACTTCTCCCACGCTTTGGAAGCATTTTGCACTAACTACCCTCGGGGTGGGGCAAGAGTTGTGGCATTCCGGCCCAGCGTCTAGTTTTTTCCATCGCAAGGGATGGCCAGCCTCAGTCTCTAGGACTGCGGGGGGGTCTCCAAGACCTGGAAAACACAGCTTTGTCTCCACAGGGCCCACGCCACTCAGCTCCAGCCCTAGGCTGCCGTGTGGGAACACAAGTTTGCGAGTGTCAGGTCTCCTGGGCTTTCCAAGAGAAGTCAGAAGTCGATTTTTACTTGAAGGCGCCCGATTTTCAAATATTGGCGAGCAAAACAGGCCGGTAGATGAGATGTGCCCCGGGGCGACCACTTTGCGACTTCTCATGTCGTTTTTTCCCAGGAAATCTTTCCCTCAGGAAAACAGCTCCTTGCCCGCTTCTCTGAGAGCCAGTGACACTGTGAGTGACCCCGTCCCTGGAGCCCTGACTTGGGGTGCAGTCGGGTTTGGAAAAGGCAGAGGGAGGAAGGGACAGCCAAGCAGGAAAAGTCTGGAGCGGGCCTCGGGGCGCAGACCTTTCTCGCTGGCCGTCCTCCGCAGAGCCCAGCCCACCTCCCTGGCTCCAAGCAGAACCTTACAAAGGTAAAGAGTGCACCGTGGCACCACCCACCCTGAAGATGTCGTCTTCGGAGGCAGCGGACACAGCCTCCTTCATGGCCTTGTCCAGCTCCTCCTCGGCGGTGAGGTCTCCAGAGATGGCCCGTCGGATCTCGGGCCCAATGTCATGCAGTGTGCGCAAGCCAGCCTGCAAACCAGAGGGATGTGTGAGGACCGGGGTGCCCTTCCGCCAAGCTTCCCAGCCAGCCATTGCCCAGGGCCAAGGCCTGTCCCACCAGGGCCCTGGCATCCTCCACCCAGCCAGCCAACCCTCCGGAAGGTATGCCCTCGTGCAAACCAGGGTCCAGGCTTTCCCTGGGGCCCACCCAAGAAGGATGGAGGGAAACTAGGAGGGGCTACCAGGGCTCAGGGCTGCCTCAGCAGAGTGCATGTGAGCTCTGGGCGTCTGTGACAGCGGGCAGGGCTGTGGAGGGTAGTGGGGGATATGGCAGGAGGGAAAGGCACATCACTCCCTCCTCACAGCCACCTTCAGAAAGGCCTGGAGCTCTAGAAAAGGTTCCTTCTGAAGGGTCTTGGCCTCCAGTCTACTGGGGAGAGACTGGAGCCCTGGTCGGAGGTCGGAGGAAGGGGACCAGGACTTTCCTTGGGATGCGAGCCCCTCACCTGCAGGGACAGGGCATTCCTCTGTGAGGGCTTGCCCACGAGGCCCTGTTCTTTGCGCTTCTTAAACTTCCGGAAGTACTCTTGGATCAGGAACGTGGCGTAGAACTTGCCGACGGTGACCTCATCATCTGAGATGCACCGAGAGAGGAGAGTGAATCAGAGGCCAGCAGGGGAATTCAGCTGGATTTCATTCATTCCTTTTCAGCATCCACACTTTCTTTAATTTTTTTAAATCTAATTTTTTTTGAGAGGTAGTGCATTTCCATGGCTCAAAAAAAGAAACATGCATAAAAAGGTGTAGGGTGAAAAGTCTCTCTCCCTCTACATCCACTATCTGCCTGGTCACCACTTTCTCTTGCTCTCTCTTTTTTAATGCCAAGGCAGCCTATGGTCAAAATAGGCTCCCTCCCTTGCTTTCCTATCCCCACTTAACTGATATTGATAACTCTTATTTGATTCCAATGCTCCAAACCTCCATATCAATTGACCAGTCCCCTAAGGGCACATGCCAAAGAGTTCTGCTTAGATAGTGAAGAAAGGGATTAGTGGAAAGTGTGTCCCTCCTGTTCAAGTTTGAGTTATTCTTTCTTTCTTTTTTTTTTTTGAGTCGGAGTCTCACTCTATTGCCCAGACTGGAGTGCAGTGGCACACTCACAGCTACCACAGCCTCCACCCACTGGGCTCAAGGGATCCTTCCACTTCAGCTTTCCAAGGAGCTGGAACTACAGGCATGCGCCACCAGGCCTGGCTAATTTTTCTTGATTTATTGTAGAGATGAGGTCTCGCCAAGTTGCCCAGGCTGGTCTGAAACCCTTGGTCTCAGGCAATCCTCTCGCCTTGGCCTCCCAAAGTGCTGGAATTACAGGCGTGAGCCACTGCACCCGACTGAGTTTTTCTTGCAAACCAGATTTGTCTTTCAAAAAAAAATCAGCCGGGCTCGGTGGCTCAGCCTGTAATCCTGCACCTTTGGGAGGCTGAGGTGAGCGGATTGCCTGAACCCGCAGGTTCGAGACCCACCTGGGCAGCGAGACCTCATCTCTACAATAAAAAAAATCAGGCGGGCGTGGTAGCGCATGCCTGTAATTCCGGCTACTTGGAAGGCTGAGGCAGAAGGATCCCCGGAGCCCGGCAGGTCGAGGCTGCGGTGGCCGGGAGCGGCCACTGCACTCCAGTCTGGGTGACAGAGTGAGACTCCAACTCAAAAAAAAAAAAAATCATACTGGTTTTTTTTGTATCTAGTGTCTTGTCTGTGTCCCTGCAGGGCTGGGCACCCAAGATGACACATGACATAATCAGTCTCTGTTTTGGGAGTGAACCAGAGAAGGGAGAAGCCATAAGTTCCCAGGGGCACATTTCACGCTGAGCATGGGACCCCTTTTTCCCCTGTCTTTGTGTACTTTGTGAAGGAGATTCAGTGGCCCAGGAGACAGCTGGGGGTTAGATCTCAGGGGTCGTGATGGTTTTCCTGGTTCCAGCTGTCTCTCGAGAATAGCCAGATCCACAGCCTTCCCTCCAGCAAGGGCCCTGTTTCCATGTGGAAGGGAAAACCCCCGGGACCCTTGTCCAGAGTAGTCAGGGAGGACAAACTTGGAGTTCTAAGCTCCCCCGGATATGGGTTCGAATCCAGAATCTGCTGTACTCTCCTGGTAATCTTGGATCAGCAACTGAGCTTCTAAGAACTTTAGTTCCTTGAGCAAACTTCATAGAAATGCTGTGAGGATTAAATTAGATAATGTCTATAAAACATCAGATGACACTGGGCCTATTTAGGAGATTTTTCACTGAGCCTAAGACCTGCTTTCCTTTCGGGAAGTGGTTCTCAATGGGGTGGTGATACTGCCTCCGAAGAAGTGCTGGGATGTTTTTTAGTCGACAGGGTGATTTGGGGGTGCTACTGGCATTAAGTGGCCCATTAAAGCACAGGTGTGCTTTGCCCAACAAATCACAGCTTTGCACTTTCACGGCTTTCAAGCGTCATGCCACACAGTCATGCCGGGACACCTGCTTATGAGGATCTGCACTAAGGGCCTCATCACATGTGAACACATTTTTTGCGTGGTTTTGGTACACCCAGAATCTTCCAAGAATACAACCACTGTGGAAAGTGACAGAAGAGTATACTTTGTATTGTTTGAACTTGACCAAGAGGGGTTCACATTTTAGAAAACTGTATCCCTCATGGTAATGCTTTTCATGGTATTCAAGTCACCTACCGTAACTGTCCCATGGTGGTCACTCTAGGTATGAGTATGTGTGTAGATATACACACTTATTTATTTACTCAGCCCTTATTTCAAAATGTCAAATACAAAGTGTTGGCAATATTCGACTTCTTTTAAACACAGACTAATTTATTACAAGTGGGTGCATGTTAATTATAACTCCTTGTATATCAAAAACATTTGCTTTTAATATATTTTACATTAGAGTTAATGCATTATATTAATGTTTTGGAAATTGTATGTGCAGGAAGGTTATATTATTTATGATTTTCATTCAGGATTATAGCAAGGACGGTAGAAACTATTTGTTCTAAGAAGAGGTTTGGGACTTGATAGAGTTGAGAAACACTGCTCTAGGAAAAAAAGAAATAATTTCAACCAAGTGAGGAAGAATCTTAGTTGATTCTTCTCCCATGGCCTTAGGGTAATCCTACAGCGCTCAGGTTTTCGGGAAAATCTATAGTCTGTGGCGTTTCCTTGGAAATTCTGCCAAGCCTCCAAGCATCAAGGGACTTTCCTGTCTTTTTGTGTAAAATGCAGGTTTGCACCAGATTTCCAACCTGGCAGCCTGGGTCCGAGCATCACACCCCAGTCCCTTCTAGCCAATAGGGCCTTTGAGCCCCATGGGAAGGGTCTGGAGAGAGCCTCCAGCAAGCCTCAATCTCCTGGGTTCAGGAGATCCTTCCTCCTCCACCTCCTGAGTAGCTGATGCTACAGTGCACATGACCACACCCGGCTAACTTTTTGGATTTTTTTGTAGAGAGAAGTGTCACTATGTTGTCTAGGCTGATCTCGAATGCCTGGGCTCAGGCAATCCTCCTGCCTTGGCCTCCCACAGTGCTGGGATGATCGACATGGGCCACCACGCCTGGCCACGTGTGTCCGCATTTCTTTTTTTTTGAGTTGGAGTCTCACTCGGTCACCCAGACTGGAGGGCAGGGGCCGCTCCCGGCCACCGCAGCCTCGACCTGCTGGGCTCCGGCGATCCTTCCACCTCAGCCTTCCAGGTAGCTGGAACTACAGGCGCGCGCTACCACGCCCGGCTGATTTTTGATTTATTGTAGAGATGAGGTCTCGCCAAGTTGCCCAGGTGGGCCTCGAACCCGCCGGGCTCGGTGGCTCAGCCTGTAATCCCAGCGCTTTGGGAGGCTGAGGTGAGTGGATTGTCCGCATTTTTAAAGGTGCCACCGCTGGAGGAGAGACAGACAGAGGGACCACGCGGCGCTGGGCAAGGGGAGGAGGTGGGGCCACCCTGGAAGCACTTACCACCTGCAGGGGGCACCACCTGGTCCAACAGCTTCATGCTTGTCCGCTTCCAGATCTTCTTGATGATTGCCCGCAACTCTTCGTTTGCTTGTTCTAAATTCCCTGAAGGGAGGGGTGCACAAGGCTGAGGATGATCCTTGGAGGGCCCTCTGAGGGCGAGGGCCCCTCTGGGTGGCATGGGAAACCACTGGTGGCCGCATCCTCCCCACACAGCCCTGACTCGCCCGTCCGTGTCTTTCTCTCCGCTTGGCTTCATGGCTCCTCCATCTTCCCATTTTCCACCTCCTTCCTCTTCCCCGTTCTCTCCACCTTCCTTTCTGCCCCCTTCCTTCCCACCCGCCCGCCCAGGTATGGCTCAGGGCCTGCAGGGGTCCCTCTGCCTGACACTCCCCGCTGCAGGGAGAGTAGCTGAACACAGAGGATCAGAGGGAGGAACGATCTCTCTCACACAGGGGTACGTCTGTGTCAAGGGCGGTTCTGCCTTCCCAGTGTCCCGTGGGGAGGAGATGGCAAAACCTAACTGTGCAAGCCGAAATCAGGAGACGCTGGGTTCTGTGGTTTGGGATTTTCTCCAGGTCTACTTTCTGTGCTGGTGAAACAGGCCTACTTAGACACTTGTCCCAGGTAGCCTCTGGGAGCCTGGCCTTAGAGCAGTGAAGAGGGAGAACTGAGACTGGCCGCCGTCAGAGAGGATGTGGCAGGCAGGATTCTAAGATGGTCCCCAAGATATCCGCCCCCATGCCTCACCCCCCACCCCGGACTGTGAATAGGCTGAATTTTTACTGCGGTGATTGGTTCTGTTGTATGGTGCCTATGACCTTAAGATGGGGAGGTTATCTAGGCGGCCTGACCCAAGCATGCGAGCCTTTTAAAAGCAGAATTCTCTCCAGCTGGAAGCAGAGGAGGGGGTGAACGAGGTGGGCTTTGTCTGGCTCGGAAGAAAGCAAATGCCCGTGTGAGCTGAGCTCGAGGGGTGTGGTCCCTGGTCCACAGCTAGCAGGGAATGAGGGCCACAGACTCCCAATGGCAACAGATGGATTCCACCCGCAGCTGAATGAGCTTGGAGGTGCAGAATTCTCCAGAGTCTCCAGATGAGATCACAGAGCCTGGTCAGTATCCTGAATTTGGTCTTGTGGGACCCCGAGCAGAGAACCCTGCTACGCTATGACTGAACTTTCTGTTTTTTATTTTAATTTTTTCGAGTCGGGGTCTCACTCTGTCGCCTAGGCTAGAGTGCAGTGACACCATCACGGCTCACCACAGCCTCGACTTCCTGGGCTCAGGTGATCCTTCCGCCTCAGCCTCTCTCCAGTAGCGGGGACTACACGCGTGTGTCACCATGCCTGGTTAAATATTCGCTTTTCTGTAGAGACAAGGTCTTGCTATGTTGCCTAGGCTGGTCTCCAACTCCTCCAAAGTGCTAGGGTTTGAGGCGTGTGCCCCCATGCCCAGCCTCATGGCCAGACTTCTGACCTTCAGAACTGTGAGTTAGCAACTGGATATTGTTTTAAACAGAAAGTTTGTGTTAATTTGCTATGCAGCAACAGGAAACCAAACACAAGATGTTTACTGCCATTGCATAGAGGGGGCAGTATGGAATAGTGGCTGAGCGCTCTGATGTCAGATGGCCTGAGTTCAAATCCACCTCCGAGGTCACATGGAGAGCCAACAGGGGTGGATGCAACGGAGAGAGTGACGGACTCCTGAGTTCCTCGTCTGCACTTCAGATTCAAACAGAAATGGAGGCAGGAGACACCGCCTGAGCTCTCCAGAACAGAGGCTGTGGACTCCCCTCATGGGAAAGCTACATACTGGCTTCTGACACAGATAATGATGGGTCCTAATGAAGACAGTGTTCAAATAGACTTCCGTTCTGGGTTGAATAATGCTCCCCCCATTCATATCTACCTGGAGCCTCCAGATGTGACCTTAGTGGGACAAAGAGTCTACACAGGTGGAATTAGTTAAGACGAGGGCTTACTGGATTGGATGGGCCCTAAATTCAATATGGCGGGCATCCTTATGAGAAGAGGAGAAGACACACAGGGAGGGAGGCTGTGTGAAGACGAAGGCAGAGATGGAGTGACGCAGCCACGAGTCAATGCCCACCAAGCACCGCCAGCAACCTCCAGGAGCTGGAGACAGGAGAGGAACAGACTGGCCCTCCGAGTCTGGCTACATACTCCAGAAGGAGCCAGCCCCGTTGACACTGTAATCTTGGACCTCTGGTTTCCTGACCTGGGAGAGAATAACTTCATCTTGTTCTGGCCCACCCGTTGCTGATCATTTATTATGGCAGACCTAGGAAACAGAGTCATCTTCCGAAAGGACGTTCCCTATTTTTATCAGGCCTTAGTTTATTCTCATAATGGTCTATGTAACAGTGGATCTCCACTGACAATCAGCTCATATCAGCTAAGTATCTTATTTTATTTATTTATTTGGGTTAGGGTCTTACTCTGTTGCCCAGCTTGCTTGCCTGCCTGCCTTCCTTCCTTTTATTTGGGTCAGGGTCTCACGTTGTGGCCCAGCATAATTTATTTACTTATTTGGATCGGGGTCTCACTCTGTTGCCCAGTTTTGTTTATTCATTTGGGTGGAGGTCTCATGCTGTTGCCCAGTCTGGAGTGCAGTAGCATGGTCAGGGCTCATTGCAGCCTCCACCTTCTCGGCTCGGATGATCTTTCCGCCTCATCTTCCCAAGTAGCTGGAACTATAGACACATGCCACTACGCCCACTAATTTTGTGGTAGAGGCGCTATGTTGCCAAGCTGGTCTCCTGGGCTTGAGCAGTCCTCTCCTCTCGGTCTCCCAAAGTGCTGGGATTACAGGCTGAGCCACCGAGCCCGGTCGACCTATTTTATTTTTTAAAGATTGGCTCATGGGTTCGACACGTATCTTTCTGGATTAGTTCTTGTTTCCCTTCATTTCAGATGTTTCTACTACTCTGGAAGGGTCCAACTGAGGGATGGCACTGCTTTGGGTTATTCGGTGAACTCCCTTCCCAGATGTCATCACCTTTCTTTAGTCTACAAATGAAGCAGCAGAAGTAGAGACAGAGTAAACGGCTTGAGCTTGTGTTATTGGCGAGAGCAAGACTCAGACTCAAGCTTCCAGCTCCCTGGGCAGGTCTCCTTCTGCTGTTCGGGAGGAAAACACCAACTGGTAGCCTTAGCTCTAAGATGGAGATGTAGGCAGGGGAAAGAAAACATCCTGCTGGTCTCATCTGTGTTTTCTGTAATTACTGTTCCGATGGGGTTGAATCATCTATGCAGCTGTTTTCTTTTTTTTCCCTTGAGTTGGAGTCTCACTCCTTCGCCCAGTCTGGAGTGCAGTGGCATGCTCACAGACACCCCAGCGTCGACCTTCTGGGCTCCAGTAATCCTTCCGCCTCAGCCTTCCAAGTAGTCAGAACTACAGACACATGCTACCACGCTCGGCTATTTTTAATTTTATTGTGGAGATGAGGTCCCGCCAAGTTGCCCAGGCTGGTCTCGAACCCATGAGCTCAGATGATCCGCTCTCCTCGGCCTCCCAAAGTGCTGGGATTATAAGCTGAGCCACCGAGCCCGGCCTGCAGTTGGTTTTAAATGCAGGGGCCCCATTCTCAAGATTTAGATCCAGGAGATCCAGGCAGGTGCTTGGAACTCAGTATTTTCTGTTTGTTGTTTTTTGAGTCGTGGCCTTACCATGTCGTTCAGGCTGGAGTGTAGTGGCACAGTCGTGGCTCATTGAAGCCTGGACCTCCTGGGCTCAGGTGATCCTTCTGACTCAACCTCCAGAGTAACTAGGACTACAGGTGTGCACCACCATGCCCAGCTAATTTTTTTGACTTTTTGTAGAGACGAGGTCTTGCTATGTTGCCCAGGCTGGACTCGAACTCCTGGGCTCAAGTAGTCCTCCTGCCTTGGGCTCCCAGAGTACTGGAATCGCAGGCATGAGCCACAGTGCCCAGTCAGGATTCAGTGTTTTAAATGAGCAGCATCAGCTGACCCTGAGACAGGCGGCCTCAAGAACACTGTAATAGGCTGGACGCTCCTGGAGCAAAATGGCGTCTTCTCAGGTCCATTTTACATAGCCTTTCCACAGCGTGGTTCAGAAACACTTGTCAGTGACAAGGACAGCAGAGTATCTTAGATCAGGCTGCTGCTACAGAGGACGCCTCTTGCAATCTAGAAGTTCCCTCCAGATGGCTGCAGCCCAGATAACTGGTGCAGCACAGGTGAGATCTGAACCCTCACCTGTTGGCCGACTGAGCACCTTGTGCCCACACCTCGTATCACACAGCCTGCACCTTTGTATGCAATGACCTCCGCCATGGCCACTGCTTGTCACTGTGTCCCCCTCCTAACACATGTCTTCCCAGCACGGGCTCTTTTAATTAATTACTTATTATTCTTTGATTTTTTTTTTTTGGTAGAGACGGGAGTCTTGCTATGTTGCCGAGGCCAGTCTCGAACTCTTGGGCTCAAAGAATCCTCCCGCCTCAGTCTCCCACAGTGCTGGGATTACAGGCATGCGGCACCGTGCCTGGCTAGGTCCTTTTAATTTAAAATAGAGTTGAACATTTGGGAGACCCAGCTGTAGCCAGTATAAGTCCATTTATGGGACTTGGTCGGGCTTCAGGTTATACCCATCGCCTCCTGATTTTTGAACTGTACCCTATGACCTCAAGATATCGTCTAGAATCATTCTTAGGGTTTGATGGAAGGCTAGAGATCAAATTAAATAAGCCAGAGGAATGAGGTCATTCAAGAAGCAAAAAAAGTCATGAGCAGGCCAGGCCTCTGTGGAATTCCAGATTGTGTATCATCCGTGATGATACACAATCCCTGAGACAGGATGGTCCCCTGAACAAGTTGCAGGCCGCTGAGTGGCTTTCCCAGTGCCCACGGGTGCCCTTACCTTCTGTTTTGATCCTCAGAGCCGTCCTGACCAGGGCAAACAGGGTGGCATTGAACATGACTGTCCCGTCACTGTTCAGAGGCATGTTCATGGAGACCAGGCGCTGCAGAGGAAGAGGGGATGGGCAAAGCTGGTGAATACAACAGACAGTTCTCAAAGGACCTGAGGCAGGCGGACGCTGTGGGGAGACTCGAAACTTGCATGGGTGCTGTTGGGATCGGGTGGAGTGTGAAATGGGTCACTGGGATGCACTGAAACCTTTCCTGGGGATAACCTCAGCCTTGACACACATGTCCTCATTAGACCCTCCCTTCCCCAAAAGGAGATGCTCACCCAGCCTCACACCCTGCTCCTGTGTCTGCGCAGGTAAGCAGATATACTCACCACTGGCAGCAAAAAACAGCCACACGCCAGCATTTGCTGGGAGCCCACCTCCCAGCTGCTGGGCAGCAGCCATCCCAAACTTGGATAAGAGAAGGAATGACCGGGGGTTTGCTTGCAGGAGATGCAGTATGTCCTCTTTTCATATATATAATATATATAATGTGTATGTGTGTGTGTATTTGAGTCGAGTCTCACTCTGTTGTGCAGAGTGAGTGCACAATCATAGCTCACTGCAGCTTTGACCTCCTGGGCTCCAGCCCAGGCGATCCTTCCACCCCAGCCTCCTGAGTAGCTTGGACTACAGGCATGCACCACCATGTCCGGCTAATTTTAAAATTTTTTTGTAGAGACAAGGTCTCACTAAGTTGACCAGGCTGTTCTCAAACTCCTGGGCTCAAGTCATCCTCCCACCTCAGCTTCCCAAAGTACTGAGATTATAGGCCTGAGCCAGATGGTAACTTAAGGGTCCTTCCAGCTCTAAGCTCTCAGACTTTATAAAGGAACATGACTGAACAGAACTCGCACTGGGACATGAATGCCTCATGTCCCACTGAGCCTTGAGACCAGTCCTGAATAAAGGACTCATTCAGCTCATCAGGCTGCATCCTCCAGGCATCCTGGAGACTTCCCGGCCTAGGGTGGGCAGGTTAGGAGTCCTTTTCCTGGGTCAGAGGTCCATTAGACAGTCCATGCATTGGCTTCGGGGATCTGTGAGCCCTAAAATTACTAAAACACTCAGTGGGAGAGGGGGCATGACTTCTTTTTCCACAGTGAAAAAGATATTTTCTGCATGGAGCCGAAGCAGAAGCTTGCTGACACCGGGTAGGAGTGTATCGCCCTCTTTTCTCCTTCCCAGTCCTAAGATGGGCTCCCTTTGCACTGTGCTTTGGTGTGGAGCCAGCTGCACATGCCAGGGTCATGATGACAACACGCGGATGGAGCCCATCATGGTGTCCGCGCCAAGGACGGGGTCAAGGGTGCTGTGCCTCAGCTCACATGGTGTCCTGTTCATCTCAGTGTCAAGAAGGGTCACACACTTCCTGAGTGGCTGAGTCTTTCTGAACTTTGAGGACAGTGCGAACTGTATAGTGGCCCAGGCTGCAGCCTACCTAGCTGGAGGTTGCCACAGATGCATTTCAACGCCTCCAGGCTGGACTCCTCCCCTACCATAATGCTTTTACCTTGCATTTAATTTGTGCTTCTTTTTTTCTTCTATTTTTTTGTATACCCTTGGAAATCTCCTCAAATCTGTTTTGGAGTAAAGTGGAGGCACAAAATGAGAAAAAAAATGGAGTAAGTCAGGGCACAGGTAGAAAGTCCTGTGTCCCTTCCACTCTCCATTTCCCACGGGCTGAGTATCCACAGAGCCTGATCTTTTCGCCATTTGTATCTCTTCCTCTCTACGGAAGTTCTCTGGTTTCATTTCCTCCAACTCTTTGTCAGCTCAACACTGTGAGTCAAGAAAGGCAGGGGTGGGAGTTGAAAGAAGAGGGGGCCGGACTCGGTGGCTCAGCCTGTAATCCCAGCCCTTTGGGAGGCCGAGGCGAGTGGATTGCCTGAATCCGCAGGTTCGAGACCAGCCTGGGCGACTTGGTGAGACCTCGTTTCTACAATAAATCAAAAAATTAGCTGTGCGCAGTAGCGCGTGCCTGTGGTTCCAGCTACTTGGAAGGTTGAGGTGGAAGGATGGCTGGAGTCCAGCAGGTCGAGGCTACGGTGGCCGTGAGTGTGCCACTGCACTCCAGCCTGGGCAACAGAGTGAGACTCCGACTCAAAAAAAAAAAAAAGAAAGAAAGAAGGGGAAGGGCGTGGAATGACACTCTTTTTTGGGTCATGGACTCACTAAGGAAGCTCATAAAAGTGACATACCCCCTCTCCCACCGAGTGTTTTAGTAATTTGGCTTACAATTTTAGGGCTCACAGATCCCCGAAGCCAATGCACGGACTGTCTAATGAACCTCTGACCCCAGGAGAAGGACTCCTAACCTGCCCACCCTAGGCCGGGAAGTCTCCAGGATGCCTGGAGGATGCAGCCTGATGAGCCGAATGAGTCCTTTATTCGGGACTGGACAGACACAAGGCTCAGTGGGACGCGAGGCATTCATGTCCCAAGGCGAGTTCTGTTCACTCGTGTTACTTTATAGAGCTTGAGAGCTTAGAGCTGGAAGGACCCTTAAGTTATCATCTGGCTCAGGCTCGTTTCTGTTTTTTTAAGTTGGGGTCTCACTCTGTCATACAGGCTGGAGTGCAGTGGCACAAGAACACTGCTCACCACAGCCTGGATCTCCTGGGCTCAGACCGTTCTCCTGCCTCAGCCTCCCAAGCAGCTGGGACCAAAGGTGCTCATCACCATGCCCAGTTATTTTTTTGATTTTTTTTTGGTAGAAATGGGACTCTCACTATGTTGCCCAGGCTGGTCTTGAACACCTGGGCTCAAGCACTCCTCCTGCCTCAGTCTCCCAGAGCGCTGGGATTACAGATGTGAGCCACTGTGCCCAGGTAGGCTCGTTTCTTTAGGTTTATAAAATATTGTCTTCATTCCCTTCAAGGATCGGTGGCCCGACCAAAGTCACAAGACAAACGGGCATCTCGCCTCCCATATTTTCTCTCTTTCTCCCATGAACCCAGGTCATCTCTTACTTTGCAAGCCACGCGGTGAGGGCACAGCTTCCCGAAACCCAGGGGGGGCTGAATCCGGCGGAGGAGGGTCACCACATCCAGGTGTTTGATACGGCCCCTAGGACAGGAAGGAGGGGAGGGAAAGGGCCGTCAGAGGGCCACGGTCTCTGCCAGCAGCCTAGGACTCGTGCCTGAAGGGTGGAACATCCACAGTGTGGCCCTATTGATCAAACTCAGCGCAGAGTTGCTGAATTGTGTGGTACATCCCCAAACCCAATAGACACATGTTTAGATTTTTTTTTTTTTTTTTTGAGTTGGAGTCTCACTCTGTCGCCCAGACTGAAGTGCAGTGGCCG